AAAGCAAATTAAATTTCATTTGGTTTGAAAAGGCAGTCCAATATGCTTGTGAGTTGGTCTAAACTTATTCAAAGACAATTAACAGTGTACGCATTTCTTCTACTACTTCATGTTTCTGGAATGAGGAATCCCTTAAGACAAAAAAGACAATCCCTGGAAAAATGAAAAGACACCTGCCTTAAATGGGAGGGTTATATTTTTTAAAGAAAGAATTTTGACAATGTGAAGAAGCAAGCTGAAAAGTAAATTTTACTTTGAGGAACCTCATGTAATCATTTTCCTATCATAAATCACTGTAACTACTAGCGACATATTTTTTAATTCTCTAGATTATCCATAATAATGGTGACATGATCTCTCCATTAAAATGTGATATGAAAATGAGTACTTGCTAAAAAGTTCCATTAAGTACAGACAAACCAAGCAAAATAGCTTTACAGCAAAAGTAAAATTAAATGGCCACCACTTCTTCTCTATTCCCTCATGCTTATAGCAATATATACCATTTAACTTACTCATATTTACTTAGGAGGAAAATATTAAAAAAATTTTTGGAGGGATCCAACCAACACACACTTTGTAAGCATAGACCCACATGAATGTTTGCCATTAAAACGACTTCTTTGATGCAAAATAATCTTAAAATGTTTCCAGTAATTATATTGCTCATTGCGCTGTTATTCTAAGATTGCTGCATGTGTATTCTGGGATAAAACAGATGAATAATTACACTAGTGTCTCTGGGACCTGTGATTGTCAGTATAGTAGAAAGAAAAAACAGATGTAAGACAGATGTTGTAAAAAAAAAAAAAAAACGACCTGGTGGCCTTAGATTTGAATAGAAAGTTTCAGTTTGAACTCATAATGTTAACTACCAAGGTTCTTTGGAGAAATGCCTAAATCCAGGTCTGCATCAGGATATGTACAAAAAACCCCAAAACATCTTATAATATCAGGAAGCAAACAATCTATGCCACTAAGGGCACAGCAAAAGGACTCAAAGGCAATTTGAAGAGATTCTCACAGGACAAAATAGGAAGGACAATATGAGCATAAAGATAAAATTTTAATAAATTGAAATATTTCAAATATGTTTAAATCTATAAGTTAACATGTAAATATTAATAGCCCAAAGTTACTGGTCACTTGTGGAGGATGCAAGGGAACTATGCACTAAAGCCGGTAAATAAAGAGAAGGGATCAGTAATGTCTTTTATCTCATGGTAACCAAATGGCTACTGAAGATACGTTTCTACGTATAAAGGATATCAGCTAATAAACAAAAAAGATATGATGAAATGTCACCATGTTGCAACCCTAATAAATTATTAGATCTAGACAATAATCACTAATATCTTCTGACAGAAAAAGAGAGAAAACTAGAGAGTATTCCTACTGATAGAAATACTACCTAACCATCTTGGCAAAAAAATTGGACCTGAATCCAATCAAGCCTCAATAAGCAATGTAAAAGAAATATCATGAGGGTGAAATGAGCAAATCTAGATTGTGGAAAACTCTATAAGACAATTGCCTAGGTTTCTTCAACAACAGGGGGAGAGAGAGAGAGAGAGAAGGAAACAGCCATATAGGTTTAGAGAAATACAGGAAACCTATCATTCAGTTACAATGAATGAACTTTACGCTAATCCTAATTCAAACTAACTGCTTAAAAATATATTAATGAGACAATTGGAAAAATTTGCAAACTGACTAAACATGCAATGATATTAAGGAAGTATTGTTGATTTTTGTGTAAGACAATGACATTGTATTTTATTTTTAAGATATTTTATCTTTTAGAGGTAAACACTGAAATATTTATGAACGAAATGATATGATGTCTGAGATTTGCTTCAAAAAATCCTTGTCGGGAAAAGAAACTGTGTAGGGGTATAGACGAAACAAGATTGGGCACGAGTTAATATTTATTCAAGCTGAGTGGTAGCTATGCAGAGGTTTATTATACCAGTAGTCTCTGTACTTTATAAGTTTGACATTTTCCTTCATGAAAAGTTAAAAAATATATACTTGTTTGAAATTTGGCAATGAATGTCAGATCACCATGGGAAATTCTTACACCATGAAAGTCTTCAGCACAGCTAAAGTCAGGATATAGATTTAAAGTATAATGGACATAGTAGCCTTTGAGGTCACTTTGGCCAACCTTTTGTTATACAAACAGGTTCTGCTTTAATCATTCATTCTGCCTGTTTCTAAAACACTAGCATAGTTATTTTTTTCCTTTCTGATTGTAGCACTCAGTGAAGCAACCAGAAAGGAATACACTCAGGAAAAAAAAAAAAAAAAAAGTACATCACAAAACCATTTTGGCTTTTTTTACTTTTATTTTGTTAACTCTACTAGTTGTGCAATACCTGCAAATTAATTTTACCAAATGAGCAAAATGACCAAGTAATTTTCCCACTATACAAACAGCTTTCTTCATCACAGCCAAGAGAAAAATAATCTCCCAGGGCTATTCCCTCCCCATTCTTACTGTACAATCTACACATCTGTGATGCTGTTGTCTCCCTAAAAGCTCACAGCAAAAGCCAAACATGATATAAACACATAAAAATGTGAACCAACAGCATGCTAAACTCTTCTCTGATATCCCCAAATTATTCTAGGGCTTACAGTTATGACTGGGGGACACCCTGAGGGTTAACTCTAATGAAAATCCAATACATCTAGTTAATTGCATGGCTCTGGGCTAGTGAGAGACCAAAAATTCCCCGAGCCCCTTGAGAATGGTCATATTTATACAGAATGGTAATGCATGGGAGTGTATTTCTTTGAAGCACCATGCTGACTCCTTTTATCTCAACTGCTTGCCTCTTTGGACAGTTTATGCTACTCTGATTCAAATCTAACCTTTGGGATTCTTCTTGCTAACTCTAACCAGTAGAAAGGCACTAGTATTATAGCTATTTCTGTCTTACATTTCATATGAAGCTGTGCATTTTTGGTACTCAGAAGTAGAAAATGCTATATTCAAATCAACCCACATTATCAATAGGAGAGTTAGCCCACCTAGGATATTGAAGTAATTATCAGCATTCAAATTATATCTAGAGATGTCAGAAACACCCCCTCCCCACCACACACATATACCTCAATATAGTTAAAGGTTTCAATTTGATAATATTGAATAACAAAAGATATACATTTTGAGGAAATCAGAATGCTAATATTAGAACTATGACAGATGCTCAAATATTCACGGTATTCCACAAATAAGCAACATTAACAAATAATTTAAAACTTTACCCATTGGTTTCAATATCTTCCTTAATTCTTTTTTTATGTTTTTCAAAAAATTTTTATTTTTTTGAGGAATGATTTACATACCACAAAATAACCCACTTCAAGTGGATAGCTACACAAGTGTAAGCAAATTTACACAAGCTGTGCACCCATCCACAATCCAGTTTCCAAACATTTCCATCATCCCAAAACTTCACTTATGGACGTTTATAGTCAATATCTGTTTCCACCTCCCAGTCCTGTACAACCATTAATTTTCTTTCTGTTATATCGTTTTTCTTTTCTAGACACTTTATATAAATGGAGTATTATAATATATAGCTGTTTCTGTCTGGCTTTTTTCAATGACTACAATGTTTTTGAAATTTATCCATATTGTTACATGTTATCAGGAGTTCCTTTTTTATCACCAAATGTATGAATTCCATTGTATGAATGCATTATCTTGTTAATTCATTCACCAATTGATAACAGTTTGGGTGGTTTCTGGTTTCTGCCTATTATGAATAATGGTAGTTTGAACAATCTTTTTATGGATATATTTTATTTTCTCTTTGCTACATACCTCAGGATGAAATTGCTCAAGGTGAAATTACTGAGTCATATGGAAACGTTTTTAATAAGATTCTAAATGGTTGAGACCATGGGATTTTATGTTCTAACCAACCATGTAAGCAAATCATAGTTTCCCTACTTCCTGTAAACACTTGGTAGTGTCAGTCTGTTTGATTTTAGCCATTTCAATGATTTTTGTAGTGGTGTACATTAAAATCACAGTTTTAATTTGCATTTCCCTTACTGACTATAGATTTTGAGCATGTTTTTCTGTGACTTTCTGTTTATTAGAGCTAGATATATGAACCAAGAGCAACTGATCTGTAATTCCCCTTCTCTCCGTTATGCTGTCATCTTTCTGAAGAGGGGAAAAAATGACAGGCAATGATACAGTTATATGGGAGATGAGGAGCTGGAGAAGGAGCAAAGAGTGGAACTAGGAGAAGGAACGTGAAGGAAAAGGATGAGCCAAGCAGGACTCAAGAAAAGGAAGTGGGAAGGATGGTCCACAGAATGCTGCAGATGAAGGAGATGTGATAACAAAATGCAAATTGGTTTTTGGATAATTGAGTGAATGGTATTTATACCTCATTTCTCTTCAAGAATCTAACTGCTAATGATTTTAAGTGATGTATAATTTCAATATGGTCTTCTGCTTAACAAGTTAAATACCAAGTTATGATGTTCAAGATCACAGTGTCTATCTGCATGCAAGAAACTATGTAATCTTGTCAGAGAATCAATAGCCTCTTCTGTTTGTGGTCTCAGGTAAAATTTTGCCAGAATTTCCAGAAGAGTTTAGATCCTTGCATAATCCTAACGATCCTTAACATTTCTCTGTTTTGAAACAGAAATGTGTAGGCTTCCTCTTTCAGCTGAAATCCAACTTCATCAACAGCAAATGGAGCTAAACAAGAAAAGATCTAAAGACATCTTGGTGAAGTATCCAGTTTTTTGAAGCCTCAAGCCAATCAAAGTGGAGGTAATGGAAGGTAGTATAGATGGGAAAAAATGGGACCTAACCTCTGGCTCATCAAGGTTTCATAACAGCCAAAGACATACAACAACGAGTTTAAAAAATAACTCTGCTCATTTGATAGCTGGGAAAAAGACTCAGCAAAGATTTAGCATGAAAGATAATAAAAGACAATGAGGCTGCTTCAGAGAGGACTCACCTGTCTTTCCCAGTTTCCTTCTTAAAAACTCCATCACAGTAACTCATGCGCTTCTCTGTGGTCACATAAATTTGGGCATTCGGATAGACTTCAACAGTCTTTTTCAACATGTTGTAAACGATGCCATTACCATCTTTCCTCATGTTGCGGAAAGGGCCCCAAATAACATAAATAGTAGTGTTTGCTTCCTTGAAAAAATAATCAGGGTTTTTTAACAAAAGAGGAACACTGGTATGGGACACAACTCGAATCATTGTCATGCGGCCAACATCTTCTTCATAACCTTTGGTGGGGGCATTGTTCATTCTCCAAATGCAGGAGGATCGATCTATCTCATGTCCCACCTTCTGGCCAACCATCTGACCTGAGTTCGACACTATGGCACAAAGCTCACAGTCCAGTTGCAAAGGCTGAAAAACAGAAAGAGAAAGAAAGCAGGGGGAGAAATATGTAAATTAGTAAATTCCACCTACAAGTTCCTCTGGGAAAACAAAAAGTTCAGATACTGTGTATTGCTGAATATGAAAATACTTCTGAAGTATTCATATAGATACTTATATATGTACATATATAAATATACATATTATATATAAATATATATCAATCCTACAGTCTCTGCTATGGGTTATCAAGTTAGGGGCATGCTTCCACTAAAAAAGTAAATATATACTGTTAAAAATAATTTTAATTTCTACAATCCCAATGTGTTGGTTAAATATTATACGGAAAAATAGTCAATTGTTTTCCACCCTAAATGATACATTTTTTATTCAGAACTGTAATTTCAAATGAAATAAGAAAATATAGAAAGATTTGATCACTGTGATGTGATTGGTTGCTATAAAAGAAATGCAAAGGAAATATATCCAGAAATCAATTCCATATTTTACTTATATGCATGAATGGTTATGTAGCGGTTGATAAAAATATGAAAAGTTCAGCAAATGAAGAGGTTCTGGAAAAGATTTTCAGAACCCAGAACTACTTAAGACAAGTCCCAGGCTAGCAAAAATATTACAGAGACCTTTCAAAAATTCCCTCAAGTAAGCATGTTAATTATGTTTATTCTAGATGACGAAGGAAAGACCCCTTTTCATAACCCTGGGGAGGCATGTACAGTCTCTAGAGCTGGAGCTGGTCTAAGCCCCCTCCTCCCTTTTCATTTAACCACAGAAGTAACAAAGACTCATAGGGGTAGACTCAAATCTAAATCTTCTAACTCTAAGCCTACTGCTCTTTTCATTGTTCCCTGCTTTCTTTCCTCCTAAAACAACCAAATAAATTACTTTTGCTGTTTCTCTCCCATATAAAGAAATCACTCTATCTTTTAAAACAGTGTTAAATAAGCAACATGTTTTGTTGATATATATCTTTCTCATCTCCCTTCTATGAGATTCCACATTTTGTATCTGACATATGATCCTGAATTTTTATCATGCCTATTGGTGAGTAACCCCTCACACATTGGGCACTGTCCTTATTTTACTTATTATGTTGCACTTTGATTTATTGTTTGATTATCTCTGTCCACTAGACTATAAATTCTGTAAGAATAATGTCTATCTTCTTCACTTTAACCTCTCTCCCCAGAATTCCCTAGGATATATTAGTAGCTCAGTTGGTTAAGGTAGGAAATGAAAGGAATTGGATTAAAATAATTATATTGGGAAGCAAAGTACATCAAAAAACATTAACTGGATAATCATCATACAACAATACCAGATCTTTCCTATCAGTGACAGATACTCACAGAAGTTATTGAGCACCTACAATGTGTCAGGCACAGTTCCAGGGATTAGAATCCAGCTGTGAAAATCATAAACAAAAATTTCCTGTCTTCATGTAGCTTACATTCAAGTTGAGGGGAGTGGAGAAAAGCAATACATAAATTAGCATACCATAAAATATGTTAAATGCTGATGAGTACTAAATAGAGAAAATTGAAGCAGAGAAGGGGATCAGGAAGTATGTGCGTGCATGTGTTTGTTTTGGTGGCGTGATCAGAAAAAGGCCTCACTGAGAAAGTGATATTGGAGGAAAGACGTGAATGAAGTGAAAGTGCTTGCCATGTGGATATTTGGGGAAAAGCACTCCTGCAGAGCAAAGGCAAAAGCCAATGCAAACAGCCTGTGGTAGGAGAGGGATGATAGGAAGAGCAATGTGCCCAGGCAGAGCCAGTGGGGAGAGTGAGTAGGCACTGGAGCCAAAGACATGGCAGCGGAGAAACCACTTGGGGCCTTTGGCTTTGTGTGACATGAGTAGCTGCTGAAGGGCTCTGGACAGAGAAGTGACTGATGTGAGTTATAGTTTAAAGCTCTGGCTGCTGTGTGGAAAGCTGATTGAAAAAGAGGGGCAAGGGTTGAAGCAGAGAGTGCAGGCAACTGCTACAATCCTAGAACGAGGATGGTGGCTGGACCATGGTGAGTGGCCAGAGAAATGGAGAGGCTCTGCTCATGTTCTCGAACTATTCTGGAGGGAGAGCCCACCGGGTAATGGCAGCCTTTTTAGCCTTAAGCAACTAGAAGACTGGAGCTGCCTTTAACTGAGAAGGGGAGAAGGCTCAGGAAGAGAGGGTCAGGGGAAGAAGACCAGGAGCTCATTTCCAGACCATTTAGATGTAAGATGCCTCCAACACAGTCTACTTGAATCAAATGTTGTAACAACACTACTCAAACTGCCTTAAAACCCTTTTTCCCCCTGATTGTTATAACTAACATGAGCACATCATGGAAAACTTGAACAATTAATTTAAAAAAGAATAGAAAAAAATGATAAAAACTTTCCATATTTCCATTACTTGACAACACTACCTGTATTTTTGTCATTTTTTTCTTTCTACATGTGTTACATTAGACATGTTGAGAAATGCCATTTAGACAATTTGGCAGCCTTGGTTTTTCACTTCATTTCATAACATTAACCTTTCCCATGTCAGTAAATAGCCTTTAGAGGTAATTTTAATGCCTGCTCAATATTTCATTGTACAGATATACCATAATTATCTATTTGCCTACTGCTGGGCATTTAGCTATGATCTGGTGTTTTTTTTTCTTTCTACTATAAAAATGTGCTTTGATGGACATTCTTGTGCTTCCTGCTGTATTTTGGATGCTAACAGTTATTATGTTATTTTAAACTAATTTCTTTGATTTAGTTTTTACTATGCTTCTACAAAATATGCTAGACAAAGGCATCTGATTATTTGAGATGTCAAAAATAAGCATTTTGAAAACTTGATTTGCAGAACTCATAGAAGTCCATTTATGAGGTATCTTAAAACTGCTATCAAAGGGGCTGTCAATCACCCCTGTCACTATAAGCTTTCTGAAATAAGTTAAGCAGCAGGTGGTCCAGGCCCCAGGTTAGAATAAGTCTGTTCAAGATAGGTGAGTATCTCAGCACAAATGGGATTTTGTAGGTTGGTGCCATAGTGAAGACTTCCCCAATTACTAACTGGAGGCTCAGGGAGATGCCTGTTGGAGTTAGGCATTGATCTACCATTACTCTTCTTCTTAGGGGCCTACATTCTTTCAGGCAATAAGGAATAACATACTATTCTTCCTGCCAGGCGACTCTTAGCTGAGTTCTCCAAATTCACTTAGTCATGCAAATCAGTGCCTGATTTAAATTGTGTGTGTCATATGGTACACTCCAGCTTATCACCAAGATGCATATGGTACAGGGAGGTTACATTCCGTCTCCTGTTCCAAGAAATTGCTTCATTTTATAATAAAAACATATTTGGGGTATAGCCTCCACAAATCTAAAAAATCAAAAAGAAGAAAAAAAAAAAAAGAAAAAGATTTGGATGTGTTCTAATCTATAAAATGCAGCAATTTGCATTGAATTTCCCAGTCATTATAGTGAATTAGCCGGTTCTGCTGTAACAAGGCTTAATTTAACTAATAAGAATCAGCATACTGGTCTCACTTGACAATTGTAACCTCTGAAAGTGATCAATTAAGACATCACAATCTGTTTCACGACAACATGTTGGGATGCCGCAGCTGTGCAGATTATGAGGTCAGCAGCTAACTAACAACTTGAGGGCAAACACTAGAAAGAACAGCCTCTTGTCCATGTGGCAAATGTGTCACTGGGCAGAACACTATGAATGCAATGGCTTTGGGGGTAGATGATGATTTTTAAATTGCCCCTTTCTTTTTTACTATCCGCTTGGCCAACTCACCATGGCCAGAGTCTTAAGAGACTTTCATGTGTCTATACTTGTTGGTCATATTCCTATCTAGCTATCTGACTTCCTGAATAAGGTACCCGGAGACGTGGCTGAATATGAGGACTGCTCTATTTACCACTGAGTTGCAGGAGCCATTTTTAAAGTATGACAGGAGCACAGGGCTGGATGAGTGAAACATTCCCAATCATAATCAGAAGCTTCAGGTAGCACAAAGAGCTTGCTAAGGCCCAAGGGACTCATTTATACATTTGAAGGCACCTTCAAACTACAGTAAGCTTGATGAAAAGAAAGAAAAACCTAAGCATAAATGGACGGTTTGACCCAAAAGCTCCTCTTATCTAGTTATCTCCGTTTCTTTTATTAGCTTTATCACTACATCTTTTGGTCTCAACTTTCTTTGTTACAATGCACTGCTATTTCTTGAACTCATTTATATTATTTGATTGGGGGCCTTGCTTGAAAATGTATTCCATATGTCCCTACTCACACTGTTCTGCCTCTGTAAGCAGTTACTCTTTCTTTCTACGCTGAAGCCCTGGATTTTCCAAAGACCTTTGTTTACATTTATCTGCTTCCATTTCGTCAAGCCCCATCTTAATTTTGAATTCTCCTTTTTAGTTGAATTATCTCTATTTGTTTCTTTTTATTAAAAACAAGCTTCTCTGTATTATCTCATCTCTTGTACACTAAAAACATCCTTGAAAACCACCTGCACACTCAAAGCACTTTCACTGGGTTTTTGCTGTGTCTATAGACTGAGAGCACCACAAATATTCAACCGACCCTGTCTGGGCAGCTATGGCCCTGTCAAAGAAAGACCACAAATGTCAAACACTTCCTTTTATTTGAGGTCTAAAATATTGATTATTTTTTTAATGGTAACAACGTTATATTTGTTTTGGGGCATTTTCTCCCTCTACAAAAATATACTACCTCTATATCAACATAATTGGATATAAACACTCAGCTTTGGAAGAGTTAAGAATGTGGTGATATATATTGAACAACCAAATAATTTTGTGCAAGGCAGTATAAAGGGTAAAAATTTTAAAATTCTAATCAGTGTGAACTTAATCTTAATACACAGCTCAGAGGTATGTGGGGCAGTTTTGTGATCAACTGGGATCAATTTCCTATGCTGTTTTAGAGGCCTGAGAGACTGCCTTGAAAAACAAATCATTTCTCTGCTAAAATGAATCTTGACGTTTTGCC